AAATCTGTGCATGTTTTCCTGAATTCTTTGTTGCAGGCAATTTTTCCTGGCCCCTGTCACGAAGAGCCAATTTTCGTTTATTTCAGACCCTTTGCGCACGCTCTACTTGGCCTGCAACTGCTTCTTGTGTTTCTACACCAAAAGTAATAATTTTACAAGCGACTACCTTTCCATTTTTCCCCACAGACGAAACAAAAGGGAAGAAAAGGGAAAATGTGGTTGTATCAGCAGTTATCTGCTAGAACTAGATCCTAAATAATCCCGCGATAAAGAATCGAAACTTTTTATAATCAGCCTTTCCCGACGTGCGTTTTTTTTTTCATGTAACACTTTGATACCAGAGTTAATGAACCAAGAGTAAGAAGGCTACTAACTCTGTTGATACCATCCAGTTCAAGAACTTTGGACGTAACGCTGTTGACAGCGTTTAGTTCAAGAATTCACGAGAGCACGACTCTTGACAATTGACCAAAATCAATCAAACAACGGTTTCAATAACTTTGCCCGAAAAGTGGCAGTGAGGCGAGACCCAAACACGAGAGCCTGCGCGCAGGCTTAACAGAAAGCAGTAGACAGCATGTCATCGGCTTTTATCGAAACCCCTGCTTAATGACACCTATTCGTAAAATCGGAGATTTCAAATGAGGATATTTTACGTCAGCCTTCCAGGCTGAATTTATTAATATAACAGAATTTCGGCGTTACAAAGTGTTTCGTTTCGCCGACCTTCCTTATTTAAATCTTTGATATCTGAAGCCAGAAAATATTTCGTGAAAGGGTTCAGCATGTTGAATATCATTATGCAAAACTCAAACCAAATTTCTTTTGTAAAAACGGTCTAAGTCAAACCACACCATGCCATTTATGCTTAAGTGTGCTGCTGGTATGGAATGCCAGAGGCCCTGGAACGATTTTCACATCCACGGGAAGTTAGCTGTGCAAAATAAATATCAGCTCACTTGGCGATCCTTGGGTTGTCCGCCCGAATTTGAAGACTTAATTGACAGGGGCGAGGTGTAGATACCAATACTGTCCTTATTTTGGCAGGGAACTCGGTAAACTAATGGTTAGCACGCAAGACTCCGGATCGAGAGATCTGAGTGCTGATTCTGTCATTGTGTTGTGTTAGAAACTTCGCCCTCACAGTACCTCTTTCTCCACCTGGGAGAGTAAACGGATACCGGTGATGCAATTGAAAGAAGCAATTGAAAACTCCAAGTGGCTTCATACTAAAAAATCTGGGATGAGAGCATAGATAGTAATGACCTTCTCAATTTAGCAATCCTCAGAGGCAGCTATTCTAACCCACAATACCAGCATATCAAACTGCCTATTGTTATCGTTTTGCTAGGAAGGCCTTTTTTTTTTTGGTTCTTTTTTTAAAGCGAAGTAGTACTCGAAGTTGGTAACTCAAAGAACACTTCTTCAGCTGCATAACCGACAGTACTGAGCATGCAATGGCAAATGTTCGCCAGAAAGCATCCTTGCGTACCGACGGCGAGGTAGTCAGTTCAAGGGTTGCCTACAAGTTCCCTTTTCTCTGACGCGAAGGAAAGTGACGGAAATGAATTTCATGTAACTCGGTTTTTGGTTTGTGAGGCGGTACACTTTCTTACCTGAGAAAGAATGATTGAAAATCGTTACAGAACGCCTCTCCAAATGCCGGTACGTAAACCGTGTCGATATTCGAGACGCCAAGAGGCGCGAAATCCAAAAGCGTTCACTCTTATGCAACGGCCGAGACTTCTCTAGTCATCCATAAAGGTTTTCTTTCTTCCTTCCTCTATCGCTTTCTCTTATTTTCAGATCCACAATAGCAGTCAATTTTCCGGTTTGCTCGAACTCTTGGAGTGGGGAAGCAAGAAACAATTTGCTTAAAGGAAGGGAAACGCAAACCAGTAAACGGTAAGGCGGGAAGGAAGGGTGTGACGACGAGTACGGAAATCCACTGACTTACGCATCTCTCTTCTTATCTTTTCTTGACTTATCTGTCAATATGACCTTGTCATTCCTTTGAAGATGGATCCACGTCACTCTAAACCTGCGTCCTCCTCGAACTTACTGGAGTGTATAATGGTGAAAATGTTTTCGACTTTACTTCTCCTGTGTTCATATTTGACCATCATTTTTCAGTCTTTGCTGGCGTTACAGCCCATTATAAACTGAACTGCTAAGCCGTATGGGTCTACACATCCGGAACGAATTTCAAACTTTTTTCTTAATGACACG